TCGGCTTCGTCCAATTAGAAATGTCTTAAAACTCCTATCTAAATGTCACTTAACAAAGCCTGTGCATCCCATTTGAGAGTAATAAAATTAATAAAATAGTAAAAATTAAGACAAATAATAAAAATTAATATAAATTTACCTAACAACATGTAACTCAATAATAGTTTAGTTTGGACTTGATACCACTTGGCCCAATTAATATTGTCATAAGGCTTCTGCCACAATTTCTTTTAATAACACCCAAGCATTGCACGAATCCTGACTAATTTATTACTAGAAGAGACCCATGCAATGTATGGGTTGGTATTAAAAGATGCTCATATTTTATAGGCGAGTGATTACATTCATTTCCTAATAAAAAAGAAATTGAATTGTTTATGGGTGAGTTTAAATGGTTTCATATTTGATTTATTTTTATTTTAAAAACTTAAGGGGTTGGAAAATAATCAGAGGAGAGAGAGTAAGCCGATGTAGACAACTACATTATAAGTTAATAGAATAAGATTGATTGTTCCAATGTTTTTGAACTACCATTGACTTGAACGGTCGGACTGTTCGGCTTGAGAACTGTCCAAACAACTGTTTTCATTTTGCTCCAAACCCGTTAACCCAGGCGATTGAACCATCGACCCGTTTAGCGGTTTTCAGCTATTTTTTAGTTTTTTTGTCAGAATGAACCGCCTGTTCGAACCGAACGGTCAAACCATCGATCAAGAAACAAGTGACTAGAACAGTTCTGATTCCAAATCATTTTTTTAACATATTGGTTTATTCATTTGAACGTGATCACAGAACAAGGTTTATTAGGACGAAATCAGCCTCTCTTGCACAAGGAAAACTATTATTTTGTTCTTGGAATATCTCTCTTAAGGACCATAGCCTTCCTAAGCCAACCTTTCTCTCTCTCAATAAAAAAAAAGAAGAAAAAATATACCGTTCTGTTCATGGATATAAAAAGAGAAGGGCGATTACATCCAAGGCTGCTTCTCAATGACCAACCGACATTAATTCTCTACCAGTACCTTTGGTGTCTAGATGGTCAAGTGAATTGATTATATAACAACTTGAAACCCTAATAACTTTGCAATTGTTGATCGCTTTGTGAGTCAAACATTTGGTAATAATATGACCAGTGGTATAGGTACTAAATCAATTTGTATATTGTTAATGGTTAACTCTTATCCCTTCCAACTGGTATTCACAAAAGTTGGTCTTGATTTTTTTGTATATCAATTATTGGGGAAGTTTTATTTTAACGCTTTTCCCAACGGTTGAGCGTTTATCTATTGTATTGCTGATGTGGTGCCTAATGGCACCTAGTTGTCAATAAACTGTTTATCAAGTATAATTCTTGATTTTGAAGATAAATCAAATTCAAATATAATAAATGGAAGCTATACCAAATACATACATAAGGTAGCCAAAAATCAATATGAAAAGAGTGTTTGGCATGATGTTTCATAAATAATTGAAAAACTTTTGAGTCTACTAGTTTAGGGGCCATTACTTGGTGTAATGGAAAAATATTGGGTTGGCACGTATGAGAATGCGGGTTCAAGTATGAAAAGGATACTGTACCTAGTCTCCCCCTCCCAAAACCCTAAATATCTTGGGACCAATATTAGGTAACAGCCTTTTTTTTTTTTAGTTTAAATTGCAATGTAATGAATCAATTTGAGTAATTGATCTCCAATTAATCATCATAATATTTCTTTGGGTAAATTACAAAAACCCCCAGTATTAAGGGGTCACCAACAATTACCCCTTGAAGTTTCATTTGTGACATACCTGCCCCCATTTAACTTCCAAAAAGATTTTCATTCAGTTGTTGAAATTTTCTAAACCCCCAAACTATCGTTTTCTTTTTTATTTGAATGATTTATGATTCGATTAGGTTACTGGTTTAATAGATCCTTACGGATTTCTAGCTGGATTCAATATTCAAATGAAGTGGTAGAGGTTTCTTTCTGATAAACATAAATTTAAGATTCCATTTGTTTTTTTTTTAATTTATTTGAGAATGAAGTGGATAATTTTTATATTTTAAGATGAAGAGAGACATTTATGTTGGTGAAAAGAAACAAGAATAATATATTAATGAAATGATATTTGTTATTTTAACTAGTTTCATTCCGAGAAAATGGAGGTATTTTTGGATCAATGAAGGTATAAGAGAAAAGTGCAAGAAAAAGAAAATAAAAAATACTAGATAAATTAATGCATTCTATTATCTAACTTAACGAACAAAAAAAGTATTTATTGTAAAATAAAAGTTCAAATGTCTTTGTCGCAAATGAAAATTTAGGGGAAATTGTCAATGATCCCATATTATATGTGGCCTTTGTAATTTACCCTACTTATTATGATAAAATTTATCTCCCATCAATGTTGATCATGTGATGTACCAACAGTGGAGATGATATTAACATGAGCAATGATTTTGGACCTGGGAGTAGTTGGGAGAGAATGTATGATCTCGATTTAGGAAAGGGTGGTTGTTGATTTACGGGGCCCATCTCAAGCATTAATCTTCACATGCAGTGGCTAAATAGAAAGGTAAACAGAATCGATTGGATTTCACATGGGGTGTCCGGAGGACCACTCCATATTAGGGGCCGGATTGCCCGAATTGAAGAATTAATTCAATTACATTAATTGGACCCGGGCTAGGGTTTGGATCGAAATATTCAAATTTTGACAAATGCTAAACCTAATCCCACCCGACCCATGCTGCACCTACACTCAATGTCATTGTTGTTAGACTTGATTGGACCAGACAGTTAGACCATTTGGACCAAAAACAAGCAGCAGAAGTGGATTTTCACTTTTAATGCTTTGTTGATTTGGTCAAAGTTACCTCAAATACATGTATTAATATGTATTATAACCTATAGTATTTATTGGTTTATTTTGATTTAAAATAACTTCAAAAGATAATTTGAAATCACTATTAATTAATTAATTTATTTTTTACTTCAACCGATGGAGTGAATGAGTGATCAAGGAGAAGAGTTAGAGTAGGGTTGGGAATTTCTAAATTGATCACTGGGCCCCAACTCAACCCCAATGTAGTTTATTGATTGAAATTCAAATTCGAATTGGGTGTTTGTTATCTATTGCATTTATATTAGATTCGGATTAATATGGATTCCAATTGGATATTAAATACTATAAAAAATTAAATTAAAAATGATCAAAAAATTATATGTTATTGATAATCATAAGATATTTCATGAACAAAATGAATTGAAAAATATTTGTATGAAATGCGAACCTAAGACAATTTTTTTATTAAAACACAAAAAAAAAAATGACAAATTATTAAAAAGACAACATTGAAACAAAATTTACTGATGAATAAATGGATCAAATTTAGATCATCCTTAATAGGATTCAATTTGAATTTGGACAATTAGAAACCATTTGCAGATACGATGGCTGCAACTGCAATTCGAACTATTGGATTATCTTAGGAATACATCATGAGATATAGGGAATGGGATCTGCTCCTCACACATGGCCGCCTCACAGGCACATCCACCTTGCATTGGGGACATCTTTTGTGAATAAAAACTTACAAGGGAGATGTTCGCAATGTATGGTGTGAGGTGTTCTATGTGAGGAATAGATCCGGTCTCATGAGATAGAAATCCGGGATTGTCTACTTGATTCATTTCCGTACAATAGAATAATGCGCTACTTGATCAATCACACGAAAAGAAAATTGATGCTTTGTTATATCTACAAAGTTGCACCAAGTTTTTGATGTTTTAGTTTGATAATAGAAGGATGAAAAGACTTGAAGACGAGCATAAAAAAATATCAAAATTGTCAAAAATTGAGAAGCTTTAAATGAATTTTTTTGGTCTTTTTGTACATCTCAAATATCCTTTTAATCTGTTTTTTTAACAGCCCAACAGCCAAGATACTTACCAAACAGTTTTGATCTTTAAAGACTAACTCCAACAAGCTCAATATGTCTTTGGATCTACCGAACTATTGAGAAATCTACTTAAAAAGACTTGCCAAACAATGTCTAAATAGATAACTTTACTGTCTTTATACTAGTTTTTTCTTAATAGAGATGTTTAGAATTAAGGATGTCAACGAGTCAGATTTGATACAGGTTTGTCTCAACTCTAATCCGACCCTCCAATGTTACCACCTGAACCTGACCCAACCGAAGTAATATATATATATATATATATATATATATATCTGTGCCCATTCTGACCTTGTAGGGTTTAACCTGATATTGACCTGACCCGACTCACATCCTTTCTAAACAGATTTTAAAAATCTATAAAAAAATATTAAATTAAAATTTGATTTATGAGTTATAAGGTGTCACTTCAGAGAAGAGAAGGAAAACCAAAACTAAAATGAAAAGAAATCTCAAATTTTAAGGCTATTCTATATATGTAGAAGCATTATGACACAACCGAACAGGTCAATCAAACCCGAACCCGATTTAGCTTAAAGGATCAAAACTCTAACCCGATCTATATTTGAAAAAACCCGTTCCTATATGTTGGATCAATCCGGGTTTACCATTTGACCCGATTCATGGACATTGTCATTTGACATCCCTATTAATTAGAAATTCAGAATTAAGATGGGCCCACTTTGTCGACGAAGGGATGGACGACTAGGATTGATCAGAAAACTTTAAAACTAACCACGTGCCGAATGCGTTGGGTTGATGGGGAGTGGCCGAGTGGGGACACGGACATCAAAAGGAAGCAACCTCAGTGCTCACCAGTCACCAGTCACCAGTCACCCCTGCTCTGCTCGCTTTCCCCTAGTTGGGGGCAAAGCAAACAAAAGGTGGGAAGCAGAGCTGGAAAGTAGGACCCACGATCCACCAATCAATATATTTTAGGGACCCCCCAAAGTCAAAATCTGACGTCCCAAAACGAGTATTTGGGTGCTCCATTACCCCACTGGATCAGCGTTGTCTTGTTTTGTAGCGACTAGTACTAGTACTCTAGTCTAGTGGGCGAGAGCCGAGAGGTGAAGGAACAGCGTGGTGCAACAGTCGAGCTTTGAGCTGTATCAAATGGTTCAGATGCTTCCTGCAACCAACCAAGATTCTGCTCAATCAGCGCACAGGTTGGATTTTCGAGAAGCGTAGGAGGATTCGCAGTTCGATTGTGTCTTCGAGCTTCAAAGTTCTTCTTTTGTCCTGTAGTTCTTCTGCTTCTTCCTTCCTGCTTCTTATATCCACTCACTCTCACTCTATTAACTTTAATTCAAAACTTCGTTCTCTCTCTCTCTAACTCTTTCTCTGTCTGTGTCTGTGAATTACAGATTTTACCGCCTTCTGGGGTTTTGTTTTGAAAGGAAAAGAACGTTGCTGTCTGTCAGATTGTCAACTATAAATAGCTCTCCACGCCCAGCTCTGTAAATTTTCATCTTTGTCCTCGTTTTTCATGGATGTTCTCTGAGAATCCGGGATACTATAGGAGGAGAAGGTGATTGAAGGCCTGCCTGCCTGCCTTCTTTTCCCTCGACGACCAAGCACCGATCTCATCTCGCCTCTAGGTATCAATTTCTCTCGCTTGTTGTTGAATCTGGTTTTCCCTCGCTGTCTTGTTAGAGAATGTTGTTCTGTTGAAAATTATTGTTGATTGTTTTTTCTCTTTCGCCTGGCTAATTTTCGTTTTGAGTCTTGTTCCGTCCGGTCAATGTGTGAGAGAGGGAGAGAGTCTGTGTTTGTCTAGTTTTAGATCTGATGATCTCCTGGTAATGCTTCAAGATCTGAGCTGAGGAGCAACTGCATTCAACTTCTCTCCCTCTTTTGTGCTGGTTTGTGTTTCAATTACAGGATTCTAGAGCTCCAAAGTACAATGAAAAGGAGAAAAAAAGGAACACAGTTTTATGGTGGCATTGAGTCTCTCTTACTGTCGTCGTGTGAGCTCCGAGAAACTCCGACCGTCGGCCAGTAAATCGGAGATTCCTCCTCCTCTCTTCCTTATCCGAAATTATGAATCTCTCTCTCTCTCTCTTTCTCTCTCTGTTACGGAATCATGTCCGTCTTTTGAGGATAAAAGAAGGGAAGAGCTCAGAGCTAAGAGCTTTATCTGCTTCTTAGTCAGAGACTGCAGGTGTACGTCCCTCCCTGCCTCTCCACCGTTGGATTCTCCTCAAATTTCACGCTAACGAATTCAAAATCTCATCCAACGGTTCGAAGGTCCCAAAACGGAACGTGTTCCCCTTAACTCCTCAGAATATTCCCATACTTCTCCTTTATTTTTTCTTCATTTTAAATTACTGTTAAATGTGAAACATTATTTTAACGGATATCTGCATATCTGCCTTCTTCGGTTTTTGCAGAGGACGGGGACTTGACCTACTTGTCGCTTCTCCTTGTGCAACTTGTTCAACATGCCGAGGTCGAGGTAAGATTTTAGAATAGAAAGCTCATCTCCAACCGATTTGAAAATTGAAATTTCTATTTTTTATTGCTTTCTTTCTCCGAGGTCAGTAACCTCTTTCTTCTTTTATCAGTGATTCACTTCATATCCCATTTTCAAATTCCTGTAGCTAGATAGACTTGTTTCAGTCAATCAAAATCACAAACAGCTTCCTCGCCAAAATCTTAGATGGTTGTGATTGATTTTGCTTAAAAGTAGTAGTGGGCATATGAAGATCGCATCTAGGGATTCACCCATCTCAAGGATTAATTAGACTTTCGGAGTTTGGGGCCGTTCGATAACAGATGAAGTGACCGAAGCTGTCTTTTACTAAATATGCTATTTTTTTTTTCAATTTTTGTTGAAAAGTGAATATTTTTTTTTTATTTCCCAAAAACAGAATAAGCTATAAAGTTAAAAGTTATACCATACCCTCCAATATTTTATTATTTAATTATTTTATCCATTAAAATACAAAGCAACAAATCTTTCAATGATTTAAAAATGTTTTTGCTAATATATATCATTAATAAATTGATTTGAAAAGAATTTCCATGAGACTTCAGGTATTTTTTTAAAAACCAATCGTTACTAATAATTTTTTTTTTATGTAAGTATAAACATACATATATTTGTATTTTATTGTATGGATCATATGGAATTGAACTGGGGAGGATCCATATTCAATCAGATTGCTTTGGGATTGCTATAATTGAGTAAGATTTGAATTCGAATTTGGATGGGGGGGCATTGTTTGCATCCCTAAACTTGTTTATTAGTTCTACCAAAAAAAAACTTGTTTATTAGTACTGCCCCCTTTGGTCTCCCATTTTAAATTTGAAATTGGTAAGGACTTGACTCTTTAGAGGCCTCCTTCTTTCCCTGCACAAGAGAAGGGCCTTGTCTATTAATATGTTCTAAAATTTTGAGTGTCTACCTGAGCAAAGAACTAATGGCTACTGAGGCAAAAATTTTTACACCCATGAAAAATTATGAGAACCAAGAACTTTAGGTGCACAATTCCTTCAAAAGAAGTTGTTAATGTGCTTCACTGTTTTTCACAATCTAAAAGCAGTGCTTATTCGTCTATTTTCATTTTGAACACTGATCTCATTTGAGATGGTACAACGAATCAGAAATCCCATTAACTGATCCACCATCAGTTGGTAGAGAGATGGTAATTAACTTGTTTTCAGATATTATACATCAGGGAAAGATAACTCTTGCGATTGTTACATGCTACAAAGAAGGATAAAAGAAAAAATCAGAAAAATTAAGTATGAAGAAAAAAAGAAGAAGATATGCATGCCTTTTTTTTAATTATTAAAGATAAAAGGGGGAAAGTAACATAAGCTTCTCTTTAGTACAATTGTAGTAATTTTGTGTAATGGTGGTTGTGACGTAAAAACCCACTATAGTATTTTATTTTAAATTTGCAAATATGTTGTCATCTCAATGAAGTCTGCTTTCTATTTATTTTGCCTACCTTTTGCTGACTTAGTATTATAAAAAAAATGCAGCAAAAAATATCAGCATGACCTACTTTTAAAATGAAAATGTATAGCCACTATTTTCGAATTATGAAAATGGTAATAACCCATTAATTATACAGAGCCTGATGAGCCTGTTTTCATGCGAAAACTACCATTTAAAAACATCCATTCGAAGACCACCACCTTAGGTTGTGTTTGGTATCATTATTGTTTTTACTAGAAGTATTTGGGGTTTATCAATACAAAAATTTTTTAGAAATTATCTTGTCATATAACCTCAGATAATCACTCTCACTAAAAAAATGTATGCATTATATTGTTATTGGCATTTATAATAGAAATATCAAATTTGATGTTTGATGAAGAAGTAATTATACCGGCATTTAATACTAATATAAACAGTGGCCTATTTTATAAAAAATATGCAGGAGTGGACAATACATAATGCGATCGCACAGTTTGGGTTCAGTCCACCTCAAAATTTTGAGTTCAGTCCACCTCAAAATTTATAATGCGATCGCACAGTTTGGGTGAGCGTCAAGGGAGAAAGATTGGGGAAAGATTCTCAATTCACGGGGATGATGTTTAGGGGGGGATAGATAAATACATTTGGGTAATAAATGAATTCTGAGGTGGAGTGGACAATAAAAAGGCCAAATGATTCTAGTAAAAGCAGCAACTATACCAACCACAACCTAAGAAAATTCTATGTAGATGCAGCCAATTTAATTTGGTTATAATTCCCTCTTTTCATCTTGATGAGAAGCAAAAGCACTTCCAAGCAATGGCCACCTCACTCCACCTTTTACTTTACGTGGAAGTTGATGGGCACTGGGCAGGACGGATGGCTTTTGATGTCCATGATAGGACCACGTACTTTTGGACCATTGTTGTTGAAATGCTACTATAGTCCTACATCCTATGGAGGCCAAGATCTGTTGATCAGTTGGGCCTCAGTTCAGTGTGGCCCTAGTCACAGTTCTAGTGAGAATATTGAATTCTTTAGCTTTCTGAATTGTGTTAAATCTCATTCAGGGTGGGATGTGGATTGGTTCCAGTCTGATGTCAAAAGTAAATTTTCTTATATTATGAATCAAAACTTGTTTGTTTGAATCGAAATTTAGAATAATGAAGTTAATATCATCATCTAAATGCCATTAATTTTTGTGTCCACTTGTTTTTTTTTTTTTGTTAACTTTTCTGTTGGAAGAACAGAGGGTCAGAATTGCCTCAGAGGAAAGCCACTCGTGCTCCAGTACATCTCAGGACGTCTGGTCATGAGGCTGATCCGCTTCACAATCGACCCACTATTGATCGAAGTCCAAAGGCGGGTGAGCGTCGATCTCCACGAGGAACTCAATCCGATCCGTTGCATCAAAAGAAGCTTGGCACCCGCATTACCGACCTGGAATCTCAATTGGGTCAGGCCCAAGAAGAGCTGAAGAAACTGAAAGAGCAGTTGGCTTCTGCAGAAGCTGCCAAGAGAGAAGCTCAAGAAGAGCTGGAGAAGAAGGCCAGGGAGCCAGTCGCCGAGGAGACCACTAAAGAAGTAGAAAAGCCACTTCCTCTAGAGGAAATCCATAATTCCAATAGGGAAACTAGCTTCAGCAATCCAGAAGAGAGTTGGTCAGAAACTGATGTTTTCGAAGTTCCACTGGATAATATCCCCTCTGAACCCAAGAGCGAGCTTACGAACATGACCGAGCAAGAAGAGAATGAAGCCGGTGAAGCTGAAGTTGGGTGTCACATTGCTGAAACTGAAGCAACACTAGTGTTAGAGCCGGTGAAACCACCATCGGATGACTGGGGCTTGGTGAGTGCAGAGATCATGTTGCTCAAAGAGAAATTGGCTGAGAAGGAGAAGCAATTGGAGGTGGTTCGGGAAGAGAACGAGCTTTTGAAAAGGAAAGTAAAGGAGGCAGCAGTGGAGTCAGCTGCATTTCTAGTTATGGAGGAAGAAACTGCTCTGAAGCTGGCTAAAATGGGAGAGGACCTGGAACAGAGTAAGGCGAATGTGGCTCGACTGAACCAGCAATTAGAGATGGAGGAGGGAGCAAAGGCAGCATTAGAGACAGAGATGAAGAAGCTGAGGGTGCAGACTGAGCAATGGAGGAAAGCAGCAGATGCAGGTGCAGCTGTGCTAGCTGGTGGAGTGGAGATGAATGGGAGGGTAGCAGGGAGGTATGGCTCGATGGAAAAGCATCTCAGCGATGGTGGGTTTGAAACGGCTGGTGGGTACACTGGATTTGTGGGGTCTCCAATGCTGGGAGATGATTTAGATGATGGATTTGGAAGTGGGAAGAGGAAGGGTTCCGGGATCCGGATGTTTGGAGACTTGTGGAAGAAGAAAGGGCAGAAATAGATCATACCCGAGCCCCTCTCTCTCTCTTTCTGCACTGAGTCTGTGCTTGGTGCTTTAAGCTTACTATTTGTGTCTTAATTGCGAAATAGTTGCTTACGGTTTCGCATATGGGCAGATTCTGTGTGCTGCTTTATCATCTAGCTAGGTGTGATAATCGATATTTTCCTGTTATTATTGATCAAATTGTTTCTTGTGATTCAACTATGACTAACCCATCTGGGTGTAATTGATAGCCACCTTTTACTAACGGATGATCTTAACCATGTAGCAGTCTTACCTCCAGATTTGAAGCTTTTGATGGTGTTGCTGAGCTCTACTACCTAATACATGATTTTAAGAACTTTGGTCGTTTTTCTTTCCAATTTTGTTTTGCATTTCAGACCCAACCCGGTCTCCAAAAACCCATCATTTTAAACTAGGAAAAGGAGAAGTTTAGCTTGCGAATTCTATGGTACAGAAAAGCATGTCTTCTGTTCTGTACTAGTACTGCAGATTTCACTTTCCACTGTAAAATGTTGCACCCAGTTTTGTAGTGTTGTCACCTGATACTGTTGTACATATGCTGTGAAACATCATTTCTTACTCTTAGCAAGCATGGGGTGCAATACTGCAATGTTACAGCTTCAGAGAATTAGATTACGGTTGTCAATAGATTTGGATTCAATCCGATAACATTGAATTCGGGCATCAATTACACCCAATTGGGCTGGATTTTTTTTATTTTTATTTTTCGATAAAGGTATAAAACCAATTGGACTCGATGGGACGGTAAATAATTTATTTTTATTTTGGATAGGATTCGTCGATCTGATGCTCTCGATCCAAGGTAGTTCTTGAACTGATGTCAATTGGGTAGAGTCGAGGTGGTAGGAAAAAGCCTTGTTTGAAGATATGCAAGAAAGAAAGCAGTCAGAGGCCCAAGGAGTTATCCCGGGGTAGATACTCCAACACTCAACTTAGTCGATGAAGGTGGGTGGTCGGGCCGAGTATTTAGAGAACAATGTTAGTCTGAGCAGAGTAACGGTATGGAAGTTAAGAGTTGAATCCTTTACCTTGAGCGGGGGGTACCTTTTTATAGCCAAGAACCCGTATTCTGGTCAGATGAGGTTTCTGAAGTTGTTGGGATAAGGTTAAATGCTGAGGTCTTCGGGATAAGACCTAATCCTCAGCGAAATTGCTCCCATTTACTCTCCTGTCTTAGTCGCACTTATCCACATGATGTGGTGCCGATGTAGCCAAAGAGATGAAGTAGACCAAGAAGATAACATGGCTGAGGTGATTGAGTGACCACGAAGGCGATACATAACATTCGGAACCAACTCAACCATAACCCAAACACATATCATGGTTCATGGAGACCATGAACATTTCATGGTGTTATGGTAAATTCTCAAACAGATCGTAGATCCCCCAATTGTCTTTTGATTTTAGGTGAAATCAGACCCCCTGATATCTTGAACCAACATTCGTTAATGGTATATTTATAGAGACCCCTGATATCTGGGACCAACATTTGTTAATGGTATTTTTTATAGGATTCCATATCATCGACTCAATCCAACAAATGTCATGATATTACAAAAAGAAAGGTAACTTACTGAAGTTGAAGCCTTCAGTGCCACGCACACAGAAGTATTTTTTTTTTTTGGTATTCGGTGCCATGCACCATTAATGACTTCCTTGACCTCCTTTTTCTTCAAAGTGTTGGTTGTGGGATTTGATTTCGTGTTAATACTGGAACAAACCAGTTAATAAACCAACGAATCAGCCCTCTGTTTAGTTTAGTTAGAAGTAGATCCCTTTAGTTAAAATTCTCTAAAAAGAAATATGAAAATGTCCAAAATACACATGTAGTTATATTGAGACTGGTTTCTATAGATAAAAAAACAATACGAATTTTATGAACAATAAAAAAAGAGAGTTTAAAGTTATAGCTTTACTTTTGAAGTTTGAACAATAGATTTGAAGGGAAAATTAAAAAAAAAAAACATAAATAAATCATTTTGGATAAAAGATTGGAAGGACTTGGGGTGAGGATTGATATGAAGAGAAAATTTGGAAAATAAACATTTTGGTCAAAAGTAACTGCATATTTTGGCCATTTTTGTGCCTCTTATTTGAGGATTTTAACAGGAGTCTTGCAATTGTATCGAAAAATTCAGGGGAGGTGATTGTAATAATCAAACTTTAGGGGAAGTTTTAGTAATAATTAAAAACATTAGGGGAGGTTTTAGCAATTTACCCAAAAAGATAGTGTAAGGTCTCCTTTTCGTTATAGTGGAGAGACTTGGGATCGAATTCCACCTTTACCTAGGTTGTGGGGGTGCCAATGGACTGGTTTTGGATTGGACCCCATCCAAACCCAAATCAATTTGGACTGATTGACCATATTTGTGTAGTTAATCCAACTTTAATTATTAAATCAAATTATTAATAATATATTATTAATATTTAAACATATCTACGTATGTATATATTCATTCAACATTTTATACATTATTGTTGTTTTTTTCGATTTCTAAGTTACAATTTAATGCATAAGGAATTGTTTATATTTGAGAAAGTGTGAATGTAATTTAGATAATAATTTTAAGTGACACTTCTTAACATTTCAATTTGACATGTTACTTGGGCTTTCTAATTGGGTTAAGCCCAATAAAATGGCCCAAACCATATTATAAACCGAAATATTACAGTTTGGTATGGTTTGGCTTTAGTATATGGTTCGATTTGGTTTGAGAATTTCTCAAACTGTAATTTATTCATTTAGCCCGTGATCTTCCTCAAACCGGACCGTGGACACCCTACTCAAGGTTCATACCGGGAAACTACTATTGGAGCTTGGTGAAGCCTTAGAGAACTGGGAAGAATTGGACTAACAGCAGTGGAATTGGGAAATGCATGGTTTTAACAATGACACATGGAACACTAGGTATAACTTGGAATTTGGAGGGGGATCCAATCAATGAATTCGGATTTAATCCTCACAACAAAGATTCAAAATATCGATCAGTCGACACGTATCATAATGGGAGTTTCCCGATACGCTTCTATAAAGAGTGTATCAGGGTTTTGATCGATTCAGGGGGTGAACGGACTTTAAACCGGCCCCTCTAAATCGAAATTGGAGGAAAAAAAAAACTAACGATTGGAAACATTAACACTACATAGCGATCATGAGAGTCTTAGGTAAATTATCATAATCAAGAATGTAAATCAGGGCTAAAACAAAGAAACACACCCAATGGCACATACATAAATTGTTTTTATTCAATAATAAATACACTAATACAATAATGTTGGACTCTAAGGGAATACACTATAGAATAAATACATGATTTGAAAATCATTATAACAGCAGGCAATATTGCAAGGGAGTCCAAATGTAGAGCTATGGGTGGTAATTTGAGGACTACAAAGGAACAACATATAAAAAAATCAATCTTTTGATAGATGCAACAAACATACTTGGCGAGATAAGCAAACTGAAATTACAGCCTTCATAGTCTATTAGTAGTCTCCCTATAAATCGCATCTTTATCCCACCTGTACGGTGGAACTAAGAATTCTGAGGTGGTTGAACAGTTATTCTCTTTTTTTTTATGTCTTTTGCAAGTATTTATTTATTTTTTATATCAAGCATGTTAATAGATCCCCAAATACTTTATTTCACACATTATTTACTTGTATAAATAAGTGACAGACATATTTTTCATCAATTTACTAACTCCAAATATTTTAGGTAGAAACAGTAATGGCACCAAACACAACTTTAAAGATTATTAATACTGAGCCAATCATGAGACACCACATTAGCTTCTTACAATTGGATCCCATACATGTGTAACATTAGCCACATCATCATCTTTCCAGGTGGTAAAATTAAAGTAGAAGAGACCAAAGTGACCCATCTTGGTTACTTTTTTTATTTTCTTGGAAAAGGTTAAAGCCATGAATGAAGAAAACCCTATACTCAAGCAATCCATCTTACAACAACAAAGCAGTTCTGGAACATTGTTGTGGGCCCATTCAAACGATTTTCTGAAAAAGCCCATTCAAACGGTTCAGTTTCTCACTCTCTAGAACCTTCCCGTTAAAACCAGAACCAGCTCATCTCATCCCACAACATTGTTGGCTTTCTGCTCACAGCGCAACGCAGCGCTTCTCTCTTTGCGTAAATTGTAGCAGAGGAAGGTGAAGAAACATTGGCAATGGCGGAAGAATTGGAGCTAGATTTGGCTGAACTTCGCCACCTTCAGAACATTGCGAAAAGGCCCCGGATTGTCTCCCTGCTCTCCTCCGAGATTCGCAAGTTAGAGAAGGTCTTCTCTTTTCCTTTCCCTTTGATTGCTCTGCCTTCAGTAGCTTTCTGTGTGGTTAGTTGCATCTGGGATTTCTTGTTTATTGATGGGTTTTAACCGCTAACTCATTAATGGGTGAGTTTTCTTTGTGGTGGGATATGTTTGTTCTAGTTAGAGGTTCCCTGCAAATGGATTTTGAAATCGAGGATTGAGAGGTTATTCGATTAGGTGGATGGTTGATCCTGGTTAAGAGGAATTGGGTCTTTTTTGGATTGATGGTTCGTTAAATCAACCGATATGGACCAGAAGATATTAGTGTTTACAGTTCATTCCCTATGCAAAAACCTCTATAGTAACAGGAATGGGAGATTGGGTGGGTGAGTGGGGTAAGAACAACTATATGATTTTTTTTGGGTACATGAGATAACTTGTTTGGTGACTTAATATATAGACTCAATTATGGGATTCTCTTCATCTCTTTATTGTTGTTGTTGTTGTTGTTGTTAGTATTGGAATCAGCATGTTGTATGGGATATTCTTATTCTTTTGCTCTGGATTTTGAGAAATGAAGACTTGTTCCCAATTATGTATTAATTCTTGAGTGACTTTCAACTCTGTAGTTAAATCTTCTATCCACCTTTTTGATACCAATTCTATTGTTTGAGTATCAAAATAAATTAGGGACACACCCCAAGTTTTTTTTAGAAGCACACCCCCAACATTCACGGTTCAACTCTGTAGTTCAACTTCAACATTGTGTCTTCTTATGTATGCAATTAGTTTCAGTGTGAAGCACATGAGATTGAAGGGATGCAAAATGCATGTAAGATTGAAAAGTTTTAGAGTTGAATTCTTGTGCGAATGTTAAAACAAATTGTCCGAAGGCAATGAATTAGTTATTGGGTTTATAAACCACCATATTGATACTGAAGATTCATACTCTACCAGGATTCAGAATGTCAGATAATGCAATATATGAGTTATCCATGTAAATGTTTGTGTATATTTGGAGCTTAATTGGAGTGTTACTGTTTCAAGTTGCTTCACATGGGTGATTTAACTTTAATGTTCAAAAACATATTTTGTAGAGAATATTCAACTTGAAATGGGAACAAATTTTGCATCAGGTTTGGCACATGGGAGGTGTTTGGAAGAAAGGTGATCCTGCTTCCTTTGTCCTATGTGGTACCTAATGGCACTTAAGTGTCTGAAACAATAATAAAATATTGTGCTCCTAGTTTCATGCTAAAATCTCTCTCTCTCTCTCTCTCTCTCTCAGCCTCACACACACTTCTTTCTTTTTTTTTTTTTTATTTATTTGCTAGACTATAAAACCATAAGTTGAAATCACCAACCACTGAAATGATGTGTACATCCAGGTTGGAAATGATAAATCTAAATTGTAGAGTGTTTCTAAATCATTCCCCCCTTCTGGTTTTATTGTTTTCTGGAATGTATTTTAATCAGTGTTGTGTTGACATGGATGTGGGAGTTGGAATCTGTGACACGTTTCAAGAGTCTGAGTTGGCAAGATGAGAAAACATGGACTTGTGGACATGTCTATGTAAAAGTATATACTATTAAAATACTTATCAAAAAAAGTATATACTATTAATTTTTTTATTAATAGTAAATACTACGAGAATAGTCCTTTTTTTTATTTTAACATTATATACCTGCAAAAATGGGTTCAAAATGTTGTCTTTTTTACCAAGTAACAGTGTAACACTTGATACACAATGTGCCATTCATCTTGTACACAAGCTGTTCATTTATGTCAATAAACCAGGAGATAGAAAGGAAATGTTACATAGAAGTGTCCTAAAAATCTGTGAAGTGTCAGACCCTGATGTATTTGACACAGACACACTGACCCTTTCAGGAAAGTCTATGCAACAGTGATTTTAGTTTTATTTGTTGTTGTTGGCCTTGAGAGATCTGTACGTATATTCATGTGGATAGCTAATACAGAAAATTGTGCTTTGATTACACATTTGAGCATGAACTATGGTCCTGTTTTCTCTTGAATGAAGAATAAATCATTGCGACAACCAACAACCAAGAAGCCTGCATCTGATTTCAAGCTTTTGAGTCAAGTGGACTCTAACCTTTACTATCATATTTTTCATTTTTTTTTTTGTCAGCGTATCATGTTTTCCATTTATTGAAGACGTATTTTCTTTCATAAGCTGACTTTGATTTATTCTCCACAGTCATCAAAAGATGCCGTGTCACCAGCTATCACACAGACTCCAGCTCCAGTGAAGGTGCCAGCAACCCCTGCAGTGAACTATGTTACACTTAGCTCATTCAGCTGGGATCAAGACAGTGATAAAATCAAGGTATGGGAATCGGATTCCATGTAAACAGAGAACATGAACCACTTTCATGTTATACTTGCCAAAGGGGAGTAGTATTTTAGATTTGCTTTTTTTTAGGTGGGGTAAGGGGATTTCTTATATTTGATTGGGTGTTGTATTTTGTTGCATTATGGCATTGAAAATTGAGCTTGTACCTGCCAATTGAATTCACAACTTCTGATTGCCATTGAAATTGCTCTTTTTCGTGGTTCAGTGGCTTTGTACATCCTTAGGTACCCTATATTAATTATTGTCCTCCAAATACTTGATTGAATATTTGCTTTTATTGGCAAGTTATGTATAATATGGTAATTTGTCATGTTTGAGTCAGTCTTAATAGTTAATATGCCTTATCAAATGCGTATGCTAAGGTTTTGGATTGAAGTTTAGAAGTTAGATGCAAGAGGAGTTTTTTCCTGCTGTGTTTTGCGTAGCCTTTCCTTCCTCTTGCCCCTTTGTTCATCATTATCTGATTTAGACATGCAATACATAGATTTTTATATCTTGGTGTCTATCTTGTAATCTAGAGGTTGAGGTTTGTTTGATGGTAAATTTTGAACTCTATCTTCAGATATATGCCTCTTTAGAGGGAGTTGAGCAAGAGAAGGTGGAGACTGTGTTCAAGCCGATGTCTTTAGATATAAAATTCCATGATGTACAAGGGAAGAATTACCGATGTGCCATACCAAAATTGAACAAAGAGATTGTTCCTGAAAAATCAAAGGTGGTTGTCAAGCCCACAAGGGTTATTATCACACTGGTCAAAGCCTCAAAAGGCAACTGGTTGGATTTGCACTTCAAGGAAGATAAAGTATGTACTGTTCATTTTTCCTGTAACCTTTTCTATTTTTGCTATTCAGGGCCTACCAATATTTTCTGTCGATGCATCTCTGATATAATTAATTATCGTTTTATCTTGTGTTTTCTGCAGCTGAAGCCAAATATGGACAAAGATCGTGATCCAATGGCAGGAATAATGGACTTAATGAAGGTGAATCTCCTTTTCGCTCTTTACTTGTCTATGTTGGTGGTGTTTAATGATGGTGAAGTCTTGGGTATTTTTCTGAGCTTAGGTAATGGTTTGGTGTTCATTTGGCAGAACATGTACGAGGAGGGAGATGATGAAATGAAGAGAACGATTGCAAAAGCTTGGACTGATGCCAGATCTGGGAAAGTAGCTGACCCAATGAAGGGGTACCCACCCTTGAGTTAAACCTTAAATGGTAAAATAGTGTGGCAACCTGGAAATAGAAGAACAGATTCCTAGTTATATTTTGTCTTTGCGGGTTTCTATTGGTGATCGCTTGTGTTATTTTCTAGTCTTAGCAGAGCTTTTTTTTTTGTCATGTTCATGAGTTTTGGATATCCCCAACTTTTTGGAAGAATCAATGGATCTACTAGCACTGGCCAAAACATCATTTGATCCAATAACAAATTAATATATCATTGCATATGCAAAACTGAAATATATAAATTTATTATTGAAGAATTAAATGAAAAATATGCATTCTTCCTCTCATTCTTGATTCCAATGAGTTTCTTCCTTTTTTTGATACAAGATTTCAAGTCTTTTTTTTTTTTTTTTTTGTTTTTGTGGATGGAAACTCTTAGGCATTTAAGATGAAAATGGAAGGCTTGGAAATAAAAGAAAAAAATCTGGAAAAGTATAAAAAGCAGAAAACATAAGGGCTGTCAATGGACTGGATATTGGTCCAACCCGATCTGGTCCAATATGAATCCATTACAGATGGACCAGGTCGAATCCAATCCTAGAAATGCTTTGGACAATTAAATCTGGACTGGTCCAATTCAATGTCTTATTGGAATGTTAATCTGTTCAAACTGGTTTTAATTCAGATTGAGTCCAACTCAAACCCGGTCTATTGGCACCCCTCCCCTACTTTTATCTTCTATTAAAGGACCAGATATTGGTTCATTACAGATGCACCAGGTCCAATCCAATCTTAGAAATGCTTTGGACAATTAAATCTGGAATGGTCCAATTCAACGTCTTATTGGAATGTTAATCTGTTCAAACTGGTTTTAATTCAGATTGAGTCCAACTCAAACCCGGTCTATTGGTACCCCTCCCCTACTTTTATTTTCTATTAAAGGACCAGATATTGGTTCATTACAGATGGACCAAGCTCAATCCAACCCAATAAATACTATGGACCATTAAATTTGGACCGGTCCAATTTAATGTCTTATTGGACCATCCAATCGGTTCAAATTTATTTTGATTCAGACGAGATCCAACCCATTGACTGATTGACACCCTTAATCTTCACGTGGTCCGTCCTGGCCTGTATCAGTCTATCAACCAATACAAGTTGGATTTCATGCAATATGATTATGAACGATACCAACCAGCATACGTGGAATGGATGGGTAGTACCAACTACAAACCCCATTCCACCATTCCACCATTCCACCATTCCAGCCATGCCATGCAGTGGTCATTGTGGAAATGGATACATATACAAAAACGCCCTGTACCGTACCGTGAACCTGATGTAAAGAGAGAGTGGCCAGTGAGTGGGACGAGAATGAGATCATTGGGAAAGTGAAATGTAAGGTGATTTAGAAACTCGACACAAATAGATTTCTAGTTGTATCATTGAACAGTGATAAGAGCCAATGGTTGCACTCAAAGAGAAAAGGATACAATCCAAGCAGTGGAGCAGCATGCAGTGAGACAGAAACTTGGAAGGACGTCGAGGAGAATAGTTATAGAATGGCTATGAAGTGAACAACAGTCGCATAATGATAAGAAAGTACCAATTCAAGACAACGACCCAACCACATAACCGGTGATTGACTGAGAGAGGGTGAGGTTGATTCTTTAAGAAAATGGCAGCCGAGCTATTGCTCTCAAAGCGACCATGACAAAGCCTCTAAAATCTAAATTTGCTGTAAATTTTGCAATTTGGCTTACAGCAAATTTAGGTCCAGGCTCAGATCAAACTGTCCTGTTTTAGTTGGATAGAGAAGCAGGTGAAACACTTTTTATTATCTAGCACCAGGAAATACTTTGAGGCTATATTTGTATCTCTATGTATCAGAATCACATCCATTGTGCCTACTGTAAAACCGACTTGCATTCTATACAGGAACAAGTTGCACTTCTCACTGGGTTATAGTTGCATTATATTACTCAGATCTTTATGCAAATGAACAATGCGACCTTCGGCCTTTGTTTTGATAAAAAACAGAAGGTTGAGGCCTGAGGGAACCACAGCTTTCTGTTTATCTTATCTTTTGTCAAACCAAATACAGCCTGAACTCTGAAGGTGGCGTTGTTCATTTGGATGAAGATCTGAGTAAGGCCAACTATAAACAGTGAGAAGGAGTCAATGGATCAGTGGTGGCTTTTTTCTAAGCAAAGCGTGGTATTAAACAAGGAGACCCCCTTTCTCCTTTTCTTTTCACCTTCATTGTAGATGTCTTGAGTAGATTAGTAACAAAAGCTGATACAAAACAATTGCTAAGAGGTTGGAGAGCGGGGAGGGATAGGGTATCGATTACCCATTTACAATTTGTTGATGATACCCTATTGTTTTGTGAAGGGGACAATGTGATGTGGGTTAGAAACCTAAAGCAAACAGTGTAGCTCTTTGCAAGGTTATCCAAATTAAGAGTCAATTTCGAGAAGAGTTGCATTGCAGGTGTAAACATGGAGGATAGATAGTTAGAAGTTTGTACTGAAATCTTGGGTTGCAATGTCTCTCAATGGCCTTTAAACTACTTAGGTTTACCCTTAGGAGCCAACCCGAAGGAGTTAAGCTTTTGGAATCCAGTTGTAGAAAAGGTGACAAAGAAACTGGCTTGTTGGAAAAATGGCTACATTTCCCTAGGTCGGGTAACTCTAATAAAGTTGACCCTAGCAAACCTCCCTGTGTACTATATGTCAATCTTCAAAATGCTGGCGGGAATAAGCAAGAGCATTGAGAAATTAACAAGAGACTTCTTATGGGAGCCAAGAGAAGAGAAAAGAAATCACAAGGTGTGCTGGGAGATAGTCGGTAGAGATAAAAAGTATGGGGGCCTTGGGATAGAAAATATCCAAAATAAATTTATCTCTACTAGGGAAGTGGCTATGGAGAATGCCAAGAGAAAGAGAGAAACTATGGGCAAGGGTGGTGGTGAGCATACATGGGCTATTGGACAATGGGTGGAACGCTGGATCACTACAACAGGCTACCAGAGTTTCACCTTGGAAGGCCATACAAGCAATTCTACCTTGTTTCTTGCCTCTTGTAAGGTATGAACTCAATTCTGGCAACTTAATCAAAATTTGGGATCAAATCTGATATGGGAACTCCCCTTTGAAAGACTTATACACCCCCCCCCCCCCCCCTTTGCATTCTTTATCATGTTTCAAGAGTGAGCCCATTTGAACTTTCTTAGTCCATTCAAACTCAACCAATGGTTTTGATTGGAACTTTGGCTTTAGAAGGGGATTAAGGGATTCAGAAATTGATAATGTATTCTCTTTAATCCAATACCTTGAAGGAACTTTCCTTGATCCTGATAAGTTTGTTGGGAAGTTGTACACTGACTGGCTACAAAGGAAGAGGAAAAAGTGGTGCCTTTCCCTGCACTGGTGTGTTTTGTGTAAGGGTAATAGTGAGACTTGCTTTCATTTGTTTATTACTTGTCCATTTGTTGCTGGTATTTGGGAATAACTTTTTTCCTTGTTTGAATGTAGGTGGACACCTCCGGCTGACATCAAAAGTTTCTTTGATCCAACTTCCTATCCATGGTTGAAGAAGATGGGTAACATCATGTGGAAGAGTGCTAGGGCGGCAATAATCTGGGTAGTGTGAGAAGAAAGAAACGCAAGAATTTTTAGAGAAAATGAGAGTACAAAAGAGGCCTTGATTTAATCAATATTGATTAGAGTGACTCAATGGCTGAAATCCTTAAGAAACTTCTCACATATATCCATTGATGATATCATTAGAAACTGGAAGATAGTGGCAGACTCAAATGTCAATAAGCA